GGTACTTGGGATTGGGGATTCACTGGAGGTTATGATGAAAGGCTGGTTAGTGCCAAGGATAGTCGAGTCTGTGTTGGTGATAATGAAGGGTGAATTAGTAACCGGTGAGTCAGTGGAAGTTACAATGAATGGTTGGTTATTGTGAACAATTGGTGAATCATTACCACCAAAAAAGATTTGGTCATTATTGGGAACTGATGACTCAGTGTTGGTTATAATGAAAGGCTGGTTAGGGTTTGTTGCAGATGATCCAGCACTAGATATAATGGAGGGCTTCCTGCTATCAGAGACTGGTGTTTCGGTTGTAGATACAGTGAAGGACTGCTTATTTTGATCTGGGGATTCTGAGTTATTACTTGTTTCAGTGACTGGCTGATTGGTCTGAGGGACAACCGGTTCAGGTGTGGTTACAGTTAGGGGCTGAATGTTGTTGGAAGGTGTTGAGTCATCATTATTTTGGGTAAAAGATTCACTGACAGTAGGTACAGATGAAATGTCTTGTGTATTACCTGGCTCACCACTTGAAGATGATTGGTTAACAATGACAGAAGACGTGTTTGGCTCATGTGACTGCCTGTTTTTGTTAGCAAACAGCTGATTGTTGGATGACTGGTTCTCAGAACTAGTGAATGGTCTGTTATCGGTTGAAATTTGGCCTGTGGTTGAAGGAGACTGATTGTTGGTGGTAAATTGCTGGTTATTGTTTGTGAGTGTTTGCTGATTATCCTCCTTGGGAGGTGGTGATTCACCGTTAGCAAAAGGTGACTGTTTTTTGTCTGAGAATGGGAGTTTGTTTTCATTGGAAAATGATGGTTGGTTATTGCCATGAGACTGTCTGTTATCATTATTGAAGTGTTGTCTGTTATCACCGTGGAATGATTGTTGGCCATCATTATGAAATTGTGATTGTCTATTCTCATTATCAAATAATAATTGTTCATTGTCAGTGGTGAATGGTTGTTTGCTATCATTTTCAAACTGTGGATGTCTGTTGTCATTGCCAAATTGTGGTCTGTTATTGCCAAACTGAGGTCTGTTATCACTGCCAAACTGTGGTCTTTTATCCCTATCAGACTGTGATCTGTTATCGTTGCCAAATTGTGGTCTGTTATTGCCAAATTGTGGTCTGTTATCATTGCCAAATTGTGGTCTGTTATCCCTGTCAGACTGTGGTCTGTTATCAATGCCAAACTGTGGTCTGTTATCATTGCCAAACTGTGGTCTGTTATCCCTGTCAGACTGTGATCTGTTATCATTGCCAAACTGTGGTCTGTTATCCCTGTCAGACTGTGATCTGTTATCATTGCCAAACTGTGGTCTGTTATCCCTGTCAGACTGTGATCTGTTATCATTGCCAAACTGTGGTCTGTTATCATTGCCAAACTGTGGTCTGTTATCATTGCCAAACTGTGGTCTGGTATCCCTGTCAGACTGTGGTCTGTTATTCCTGTCAGACTGTGGTCTGTTATCCCTGTCAAACTGTGGTCTGTTATCATTGCCAAACTGTGGTCTGTTATCCCTATCAGACTGTGGTCTGTTATCATTGCCAAACTGTGGTCTGTTATCCCTGTCAGACTGTGGTCTGTTATCATTGTCAAACTGTGGTCTGTTATCATTGCCAAACTGTGGTCTGTTATCCCTGTCAGACTGTGGTCTGTTATCATTGCCAAACTGTGGTCTGTTATCCCTGTCAGACTGTGGTCTGTTATCATTGCCAAACTGTGGTCTGTTATCCCTGTCAGACTGTGGTCTGTTATCATTGCCAAACTGTGGTCTGTTATCCCTGTCAGACTGTGGTCTGTTATGCATGTTATCGTTGCCAAATTGTGGTCTGTTATCATTGCAAACTGTGGTCTGTTATCATTGCCAAATTGTGGTCTGTTATCCTGTCAGACTGTGGTCTGTTATCATTGCCAAACTGTGGTCTGTTATCATTGCCAAACTGTGTCTGTTATCCCTGTCAACTGTGGTCTGTTATCATTGCCAAACTGTGGTCTGTTATCCCTGTCAGACTGTGATCTGTTATCATTGCCAAACTGTGGTCTGTTATCCCTGTCAGACTGTGATCTGTTATCATTGCCAAACTGTGGTCTGTTAGCATTGCCAAACTGTGGTCTGTTATCATTGCCAACTGTGGTCCTGTTATCCCTGTCAACTGTGGTCTGTTATTCCTGTCAGACTGTGGTCTGTTATCCCTGTCAGACTGTGGTCTGTATCATTGCCAAACTGTGGTCTGTTATCATTGCCAAATTGTGGTCTGTTATCCCTGTCAGACTGTGGTCTGTATCCCTGTCAGACTGTGGTCTGTTATCATTGCCAAACTGTGGTCTGTTATCATTGCCAAACTGTGGTCTGTTATCCCTGTCAGACTGTGGTTTGTTATCATTGCCAAACTGTGGTCTGTTATCATTGCCAAACTGTGGTCTGTTATCATTGCCAAACTGTGGTCTGTTATCATTGCCAAACTGTGGTCTGTTATCATTGCCAAACTGTGGTCTGTTATCCCTGTCAGACTGTGGTCTGTTATCATTGCCAAACTGTGGTCTGTTATCTCTGTCAGACTGTGGTCTGTTATCATTGCCAAATTGTGGTCTGTTACTGTTGCCAAATTGTGGTCTGTTATCACTGCCAAACTGTGGTCTGTTATTATTGCCAAACTGTGGTCTGTTATCACTGCCAAACTGTGGTCTGTTATCACTGCCAAACTGTGGTCTATTATCCCTATCAGACTGTGGTCTGTTATCATTGCCAAACTGTGGTCTGTTATCACTTCCAAATTGTGGTTGTTTGTTATTGTTACCCAATTGTGGTTGCCTGTTATCAAATGGCGAGTGTCTGTTATCAGTGTTAAATGGAGATTGTTTGTTATCAAAAGGTGACTGCCTGTCATTTGAGAATTGTTGTTGGTTGTTAATGTTATCAGAGGAGAATATTGACTGTGTGTTACCGTTTGAAACTGGCGGTCTGTTTTTATTGTTAGAATGCTGTGGTTGGCTATTATCAAAAGGCTGATTGTTATTGTTGCTGAAGGGTGACTGGTTATGAGTGCTTGAGGAGGAGGATTGACTATTAGGGACAAAAGCTGGTGTGCTGTGAGTGGTCATGTGGCCATCCATAGACAAGAAGAAGAAGGCACTATCTCCATCTTGCATATGGCCTGGCAGGGAATCAGGACGAGGTTTATTCGTTGTATGAAGCAGCAAAGGATCGGCTGAGGATGAGGGCTTGTTGTCTAAGACTGCACCTGATGGACGGTTGGAGGAAATTAAGACTGGTCTGTCGCCAGAGGGTCTCGAGGGGAACTTGATTAGAGGATTTGGATTGGGCTTGGAGGATGAAGGGAAGGGAGGTAGGCTATTGCTCACCGAAGATGGGAATTGGGAAGGCGTGAGGGCAGGTGGGGCGTCCGCAGACCCCTCTGATGGGCTGTCCTTATCTGAAGATGGTTGGACAGAGAAGCGGATGTCACCTCGCCCATCGAAGGCATTCTGGGAGGGTATGGACTCGAGTGATGGGGGACCCGGCCTGCTGGAGGGTGAAGGAAGCCTGCTGAAATCTTGGCCATTGCTTCTACTGGGGAGGTTGGTATCACCAGTTCTTGTTGGGATAACTGGCTCTTGGTGAGACAAGTGGTTTCTATCGCCATCGAAGGGTTTTAAAGATTCGGAGCCAGTGACGGGATCCTTGTTGCCAAAAGGTGGCTGGATACTGGCTGGTGCTGGGGGCCCTGTACCCAACTGATTAGAGAAGGGTGGGTCTGTGGTTGGGACAATGATGGGATCTTGGGTTGTGAAAGGTTGTGGGGGTGTTGTGGGGGATGTAGTTGTTGATTGTTCTGTGGTCGTTGGCTTTTTGTTGATCAAAGTGCTGAGTATGCCTGCCAGAGTAGATGTTCTCGGTCTAGATGTAGTAGGTGAGGGTGGCAGGAATGGTCGCAGGGGACTACCACCTCGGTTTTGTTGAAAGTTAGTTTGTGGAGGTGGATTACCTGGAGAAGAGGTAGAGGGGGTGAAGGGAACAGATGGTGGAGTTAGACTTTCTAAGGGCCTCAGTAGGATGGACTGTCTTGTAGATGGATTTTCAGGAGGGAGCAAAGTGGTAGGAGGAGTAAAACCACTTACTGGGGCATTGAAAAATTCATCACGAATTATAGGGCGACCATCCAAAAGGGGAGAGGGTAGGAGAGATTTAAGAGGTGGAGATATTGTCGTTGGTACAGAGAATTTAGGAGAGATACTAGGAGTATCATTCCTTTGATTGAAGAACCTTGTTGACTGAAGTTTGAAATTAGGGGTAAATAAAGTAGTGCCAATAGGAGATGGCGGGTTAGTTGTTGGAGTTAGAGAGAGACTAGGCCTTTTAGGCACCACCCTCTCATTGTTGCTGTTAGAGTCATTTCCAAGAAAAGTTAGTAAACTATCTACTGTAATCACTGGGCGAGACGGAACCTGAGTAGTCGTTGATGGAGAGCTGCTAAATGAACCTTGACTAGAAACAGCATGATCATTCACAAATTCAATATGTCCAGAACCATGGAGTGTTCCAGATCTGCCATTATCATTTTGAAGTGTGAAAGTTGTATGTGTTTGGTCTGGTTGTGGTGGCGGTGATGGTGGTGGTTGAAGTACCACATCCCTTGGAATGAAGCCTTGCTCTGCTGTGATCTTCACTCCTCCTGTAAGTGTTGAAGGACGATGAACTTCTCGAGGGATAAATCCTGCTTCTGAGGTCACCTGGACATGTCCCAGTGGCTTGTCGGTCTGAGGTGGAATGACATCAGGGAAGGGAGATGAGGATTCTTGATTTACTGGAGATACCACTCTTTCACTAACCGGTGACTGGGGTGAAGACACTGGCGGTAAGTGATTACTATTGCTTGGGGAGGCAGGGGCCTGATTCAGGATTGGAAGAGCAACAACAATTATCCTAGGTGTGACGGTGTTGGGTGGGATTGTTGTCTGGAAAGGAGGCAGTGCAGTTTCTACCTCTTGTTTTTTGTCAAATTCAAAGTTAGGCCTTACAGTTGTTGCAAAATCAGGTGAAAAAGTTGTAGTATCCTGGTTATTGACAAAGAATGAATTTGATGGTGGTGTGATTGTCAGTGATGGTGGGAATGCATCTGCATCTTTTATTTCACCGAAGAAGGGGTTTTCTGGAGTTGTAATTGGGAAGGCTGGTGGGAAAGTTTCAGTTTCTTTTGTTTCCTTGTGGAAAAAGTCATCAGGTGGGAAAGTTTCTGTTTCCTGGATTTCCCCAAAGAAGGGATTTGATGGTGGTGTTATTGGGAAAACAGGAGGGAAAGTTTCCGTTTCTTTCCTATTAACGAAAGGTGGGTCTTCCTCAGCGAAGAATGCTTCATCTAAGTCACTACTGTGTGAGGGTCTTGATATATGACTGCTGCTTGTTGTCTGATGTAGCTTTGGGAAAATTGACTGTTTTTGATTATCATCACCAAATGGAGAAAAGGTAGTGTGGACGAAGTTTTGAGAATTTACAAATCTATCTGCAGATGACTGAGTTGATTCTTCAAAACCTTCAGCAAATGTAGTTGGAGGTGTTGTATCCAAATCAAAATCAAAGCCAGTGAAGGTGGAAATTCCACCACCTGAGGGGGATTCTGTGAAAAACCGTGTTGGTGAAATTGTAGTAGCAGAAGTTTCAAATTCAAAAGGTTTAAATGTGGATGAAGGTTTTGGTGGTTCTGGGGTATCAGGTTTCAGAGGGCGTGTGACAGGTTGGACTGTAGCATCTTCATTGTTGGAGAAGGCAGCCACTTTGCTTGCCAGGGTTGAGCGATGGCCAGGACGCTCCGTAATTCTAGGAAGCGGTGTTGGTCTGTGCCTGTTCTCAAACCTAACTCTTCCCCGAGAGGTGACAGAGGAGAATTCTTGTAATGTGGTTTCTTCCTCTGGAGGAAAAGTTGCTCTCTCCAAATCAGATCTTAATGTTGTGTCAAAGAAGTCCTGAGTGGTGTGCTCAAAACCTGAAATGGTTACGTCCTCTTCCTGTGGAAGTGTTGTAAATTCTGGGACTGTAGTTGTAGGTATGTGCGTTGTTACTTCCTCAAACTCCGTTGTAAACCTTGGAATGGCTGTTGGCTTTCTCCTTCTTGGTGTGCTAACCCTGTTATTTTGTACCCTCTTTCTAAAACCTTTTCTGCGTCCTCTTGGGGTTGTGAATTGATTTCTTCTTGGAGCTGATGTTGAAGACCCAAACCTCCTAGGTGGCTGTACTGGCTTCTTCTCTGCCTCAGCAACTGATTCTGACACAGATTCTCGACTAAGTGAAGGTGCCTGAGTTACTTTTTCATTTCGTTTTTCTGAGGGATTATCAAAGCGAGTAGGACGAGCTGTTAAGGGACGAGGTACATTTTGCTCTATGGGACCACCTGGCCTCCTTCCTGGTATTCTCGGACGAGGACGACGAATAGGTGGTGGGAGTCGAGATCTAGTGCGTGTGGCTGTATTATCAGTTCTACTTTCAGGGAGAAGACTAGGAGGGTCACTGCGAGAGCTAGTTGAGGGTGGAGGACTAATAAATGCTGGTCTGACTCTTTGAACAGTACGGTCATCGGAAGATGCTTCAGAGGGCTTTGGACTAGCCACAGGCCTGAGGAATGTACTAGGGCGTGGCTGGAATCCTTGTGTACTGTCTTTCCTAGTAGGAGCCACTGGGTTTGTTACTCTGTTCTTTGGTATAACGTTTATTGTGGACGATTCTTCATTATCATTTGAATTTACTGTGCTTTCTGTTAGGGCTCTGAATTTGTCAAGACGTGGTGGCGTCCTTGTAGTAAACTTTGGTCTTGTATTGCCTTGCTCAGGAGATGATGTTGTGGTAGGCTCATCAGGCAATGCAGTAGTACCTGTTTTCTTTTCAGCCAAAGCTTTAAGCATCTGTTTGTTTAACTCTAAGAACCTTCTTAGTGCTTCACTCTGTTTTGCTCCATTTTTAGGGTCAGGTGCTTGTTCAGTAACCGGCTGAGGTTGGGTTTCTTTAACAACTATAGGTTCTAAATCTACTTTTACTGTTTGTGACTGAACCCTTGGAGCTTGAGTTGTAGTGGAGGTGAATGTCGGTATATCATTCTCCCTCTGTGAGCTACTTGTTTTTGCAGTACTTCCTGTTGGGGAAGCTCTCTGACTTAATAAGTCACTCAAACTAAGCCTCCTTCCAGTGGCAGAAGATGCAGGTCTCTCTGCAGTTGATCGCACATTACCAAGAGGGACAAAGGTCCTTCTTTGGGTTGACTGAAGTTGCCTGGGCCTTGGCTGTTCTCCATCTTTTCCACTGTTCTTCCTCAACCATGCAAGCCTCTGTCTTTCTCTATCTTCTCTTGACAAAGCTGTATTGCCTACTGACACTTCTTCATTAGTTTCAGCATCTGATTCTTTTTCTTCTGGGGAAGTTGTTGGAGTAGTGACTTCAACTGTTGTTGTCCCCTCAGTTGTAGAAAGTTGATTTGCTAATGTTTTAACTGAATTGTTTGATTTGTTACTTACTATTACTGGTTCTTTTACGTCAAGAACTTCTATTTTCTCTGTGGTTGTAACTGGAGGCATGGTGGTAGTTTCCATTGGATCAGTCACTGTTTCAGTAGTAGTTTCAGGAATATTTTCCATTGTCGAACTTTCTGTAGTTGAAGTACTCATTGGCATTTGGGTAGTTTCTGGAGCTTCAGTGAAGTTTTGCACTTTGGAGTATGGTTCAGAGACTGTTAATACAGCTACTTCCATATTCAATATTGTTGGTGTATTAGTTTCTGTTAGCATGATGCCCTGAGTACTGGTAGTGTGCTCTGTACTTGGTATTCCTTGATTATCAGAACCCAGTGCTGCAAATGTAGGAGTCTGAAGGCTTGTTGTAACAATTACTTGCTCAGTAGATGCAGGTTCTAAATCATAGTCAAAATCAAAGTTCTGAATACCGGTAACTTCGTGATTCAGTCCTAGCTGTTCAACTGGATCTGTAGACGAGAGGGAAAAATCTAACACACGGTTCATTGCAGCAAGTTCAGGCCGAATGGAAGTACTGCCAAAACTATGCAGCAGCATATGCAAGTGATTCATAGAACGTGTAGTGTCAACTTCATTCTCCTCTGTGGGTGTTATTTCTCCTGGTGTTGTGGTTTCATGCAGTAATGGTACCTCAGTGATGTGAACAGCAGGTGGGGTTTCAAGAGCATCATCATTAGTGGTGATATAATCCTCTAGTTGACTTTCAGGCACTGTGGTCGGTGGTAAATCTGTCGTGGTGCTTTTCTGGAATCTTGTGGTTGTATCCAACATTTTTACAGTTGATACCCGGGGACTGGATGGATTAAACCCTGGGGATCTTTGAGTTGTTGTGGATGGTTTCATAGTTGTTGTTGTTCGGTTTGATAATACAGGTATTTTTATGGATGAAGGCAGTCTAGACGTGGTTGGAATTTCTGTTGTTGTAGAAGGTGGTAAATCTGTAGATGTAAGTAAATCTACTGTCAACTCTGCATCCTCAGACAGTGTCACAAAAGGATCTGTTTCCAGTTCAGATGCAATTATTTCTTCTGTAGTTTGGAATGTGGTGGGATTATCTGTAACATCTGTCAGCAAAGTTGATTCTGTAGTTGCAGCAAGTGGAGTTGTTCTTGTCTGACTTCCTGTTAATTGTGTTTGACTTGTAGTAGTGATTTGCTTTTCTGTTGTTGATTCAAAATTTTCGATCAACGTTGTTTGTTTTCCGTCTGTTTCTGTTAGGTCTTCAGGAGTAACAGTTTCAGTAGTAATCATATCTTCTGGCATTTCTGTTATATTTTCAGTAAGTGTTTCATTCTCATTTCCCAGTATTTGTTCTTCATTTGCTATCGTCATAATATCGGCTGCTATAGCTTGATCACCTGTTCTCAGCTGAGCACTACTTAATTCTGCAGGAATTTCTGTAACCTCTTCTTGATTTTCAGATCCTATACTAGTTTCTGTAACCTCTTCTTGATTTTCAGATCCTATACTAGTTTCTGTGAAACTAATCTGTTCTTCAGCCCTTTGTCCTAATTCTTCAGTAACAATTGGCTGATCTATGAACTCTTCAGTAGGATCAAGATCATCAGTAGCCTCTTTTGGAGATTCATGGTCTTTCAAAGGTTCACTCACAAATACAGTTTGATTAAGATCATTTTCATCCTGAATCATTAGTTCTTGTGGAACCTCTGTAACCTCAGCTTCACCTCCGGCTTCTTCGGTGACACTTGCCATCACATCAGCCTGGTCTCCAGATCCTAATGTATCTTCTCCTAGGTCTTCAGATTTTTGTGCAGGTTCATCAATAACCTCAACTTGATCTTCTTGTCCTTTAGAAGTATCAGTTTGATTACGGAAGTTTGTCGAGATATCAGCTACATTTTCAGTCATTTGTACATGTTCTGTGATTTCAGTTTGTTTTTCAGGTTCTTGAAGATTATCTCTAGCCACTTCAGTTTGGTCTTCAGAGTCAAGCAACAGATCTGTCATAACCTTGCTTTCATCATTCACATCCAGTGTCGGCTTAATCACATGTTCATCAATGGGAATGATTGTGTGACTTTCATTTATTGCTTTCTGACTTTCATTTGACTTAGTAAGGCTTTCATGGATGTCGGCCTCATCGCCAGCTATTATTTCGTGTTCTTTTTCTGATATTTCGGTATCTGTATTGAATTCGTTAAGCATTTGGGTTTTCAAGGAAATTACTGGTTGAACTTCAGCTGCAGGATTTTTCTCCACATTTGTTAATTCCACATCTGTAGGTCCCGTTTCCTCAATAAGAGTTTCCTTACTAAGAGTTTCCTCAGGAAGAGATTCCTCAGGAAGAGTTTCCTCAGTTAGAGGTTCTTCATTCACTTCTGGTACAGTGACATCTGATTTAGAGTTAACTTCCGTAATGATTCCTTCAGCAACTAGCTGTGCAATTAAATCTTGGACAAGAGGGTCTTCTGTCGTGGGTTGCTTCAAAGTTTCTGCAACCGTTTCGGGAGTTTCTGTATGCTCAGTTGTAAGTGCAGCAGCCGTGGAATCAGTAAATTCTGGGACTGTTCCTGAGGGTGGATTTGTTTCATCTACTTCCAGTTCAACTGATGTTAAAACGTTTGGTGTAGTGTGCGGGAAAGGAATTTCAGTTTCATCAGTTGCTGCTGGCTTGGATGTGGTCGAGACTTCAGGATTTGATGTAAATACTGATACAAATGGAAGAGATTCTGGAGTTGGGGTAGTCTGTGCGAATGATGGTTGAGAGGAATGCAGTGCCTGGGTGGTCGGTGGCAACTCTGATGTTGCAATAGTTTCTATTATTGTTGATAGAATTTCATCAAGTGGCATTTCTGTTGGTTCAAAGTCTTCATCTGTGTGGACCATCAAAACAGGATTGTCTGTCACTGTAACACTGGACTGAGTGGCTGTGTCAGCTGTCAGCAGTGGTTTCACTGTTACCTCCTCCAAGATGGTCAGGACTTCTTCAGTTGTAGTCTTTCCTGCAAGTCCACTTGCCCCAAGCATGGCAGCAATCCTCTCCCTGATGCTTTGAACCTTCGAGTTTGTTCTTTCTGTAGTTGCAACTCTGGTTACAGGAACTTTCTGAGTGGTAGTTGTAGTAGGGGCACGTTCTGTAACCTCTAAAGCTGGTGCCTCTGGCTCATAATCAGTAAAATAATCATAATCTTCATCAGTGGCTATGCTTGGAATTTCTGTTGTAGTTGTAGTTGTTGTTGTGGTTGTTGATGGAGGTAGTGTAGTGGTTGTTGTTCGTTTGGTTGTTGTTCTCAGATGCTTTGGCACAAACCTATTATTTTGCCTGTGAAGCTCAAGTCTTTCCCTAATTGTAAGAGGCCTTTTAGTTGTAAAACTGTGAATAATAACCGGCCGTCTGGTGGCTCGAAAACCTGAAGAGGAGTTTTTATCATCACTGATTCTATTTCTTCGACCACCAGTCGGGGACCGCGATGCAAAAACCCTGTCTCTCAGACGGCTGTTAAAGCTACTTCCTGTTTGTCTTTGGGGTGTCCTTCTGCGAGGAGGCACTTGATTATCCTGGACATTGTTATCTTGTTCTTGGTCTGTACGACGCGGTCTGCCTGTTGTTGATGTGAGGCGTCTTTGCCGGAGCTTTTGCAGTCGTTCCAAAAATTGCTGAGTGCGGGTAAGCTGTTTTCTCCCCTTTTTCTTAGCTTTCTCAGTGCTAACAGAGACTGGCAGAGGGGTTGTTGTAGTGGAGGTTGCTGGAGAAGCTGCCGGTTGTGACTCTTTGTCAGATGCAGCTTGATCATAATCATAGTCATACTGTGCTTCTGACAGGGTATCTTGTGAGGATTGACCACCTGAGGCAGATATTGTATTTCTCTGCCTTTGTGCTTCAGATTCTCCTCTTGATTCTTGATCTTGAGTCCTACTTGGTTGTGAAAATGAAACCTTCTCTTTTCCTTCTCCTCTGTTGTTTGAAGCTTGTTGTGCAAAGTTCTGTAGACGAGATGCTAGAGAATTGCCAGTCTGAGTCCTACTCTTGTGCTCCGCCGTGGGGGGTGAAACTGTAGTGGAGGAAGTGGTTGAAACGGTTGGTTGGGCTGTGGAAGCTGAGGTGGTGGTGGATGTAGTTGTTGATGGAAGATTTGTTGTGGTTGTAGGTGGTGGAGTTGTAGTTGTGGGTGGCGGGGTTGTTGACGTTGTAGTGGTTGTGGGGGGTGGAGTTGTACTAGGCTTCGAAGTTGTCGAGGTTGTAGTTGTAGTTGGGCTTGCAGTGCTGGTTGGAGGAATTGTTGCAGGCGTGGTAGGAGGGGAGGACAAAGGCGTCACTGGGGAGATCGGGGCCTGTGTTGTAGGATTGCCATTGGAGAGACCCACCAAATCTTCATTTCCAAATTCCAAACCGCGTCCAGAGATCTGGGCATCGTTCACTGCTGCCGGGAAGCCAGGTGGAACCTCTCGAAGAGGAGTAATGGGAGAGGTATCAGGGAAACTTCCTGATGGGAAACTGGACTGACCTGAAAGATTTGGCTGGATCTGGAAGGAGCCTGGATGGCTAAACTGACCTGGGAAGCCATTTGTTATACCCTGTGGTGGAGGTCTGCCTGTCTGTGGAGATCCCGGGAAAGCTTGGAACTGCGGCCCTGGAATGGCACTCCCTGGAAAGCCTTGTGGCCCTGGAATGGCACTCCCCGGAAAGCCTTGTGGCGCTGGAAAGGCGAACTGTTGGTTGGGCCCAACGAGGGGAGGCAAGAAGGGGTTCCCAGTAGGTTGGCCATTGAACGTCCCTGCGAAAAAGGGGTTTAGGGGCCTCGGGGAAGCATTCGGGGCGCCAGGCAATCCAGCAAAGCCCTGGAATGGGAAGGGCGAAGGGGAACCGAAGAAGGGCTGGAAGCTTTGGGTCTGGGGCGTTGGGGCTGGCGCTTCTTGGGCTGTCACTCGCGAAGATCCTGGAACGAGAAACAGGGAAGAGTTAGTACCGGGAAGCCTGATTATGCACTGTGTCGTGATATTTTTTGTTTATTAAGTTTTCAT